TGATGAAAATGTCAGACCCGTATGGATGTCCCCAAAATATACCACGGGTTTGACATTTTTATCAGTATTGTGAAGTTGTAATGACATATTAATGTCGGTTATTTGACACTTTTCTATGAGTATTTATAGAAATAAACTATACCTACAAATTAGTGCTCGTAAAGAATGATTATTCAGGAAGTTTAGTATGAAATTGTCCAGACAAAACCGGCACCAAAAAAAAAGCTATTTCCTTACAATCACCCATATCTATAATAACTATTTAAACTATAATCATACAATTATTAGATATTTATTTTTAAAATATAATATAAATTTTCAAAAGTGAATTTAATTTTGAGCTAAAATCAACAACCAATCGCGACGCGAAAAGTTTTCAGGCAGATTATTCAAAATTCAAAAGAGGATTTCTGTAATAATATGAAAAATAAAAGAAATTTGATATTTTTTAAATAATTTTATATAACACATGCACAAAAAAGGCGTTTTTCTGCCTTCGTTATAGAAAATATCGTATGCATCTCGAGGGCTGGGGCTTAGAACAACTCGAGTTTCTCGAGCAATGTTCTCGTCTTCGACTCGTGTTGCGAAAATTGCTCTCGTAATTCAAAAGTCCCTCCTCCGCCCCCTTATTCATAATGTACTATTAAAACTGAGTTTTTTAATTCAAAAATAAAAAAAAAGAATTTCTCTACAATCATCATTTTTGGCATGCTGTAAAATTATCCTTACAAAAAAAATGGAAAACAATTTTTAACTAATTTAATGTAATACGATTTTATGAGTATTGATCATAGACTACATAATGTAAATCATTCAACATTTATAGCTGAAAAGAATTTTTTTTGTCAAGTAAATCTATATGACAATTGAATCTTGAATTTTTTAATAAAATTGAAACTAATAATTTAAAATGCTGCACCATAACAAATATTGCGGTTTAATTATACAAGTTAATGCAAGTTTGACTTGCAAGCCACGAGCACGTTCTCGCGCTTTATGCAAGTTACTGCAGGTTTGGACTCGCGAGTCGCAAGCCTGTTCTCGCGCTTCTTACAATGCACCAATGAGACGGACGTCTGTAGTGTTGTATATTTTATTCGTAACGTATAAAATATAAAAGTGTATAGTAATAACGATTAACAATGAGTGATCAAAGTGATAGACATAGAGGTAAAAGAATTTATCAAAGTGGGAGTGCTAAGCGTCGAGCATCAATTGATAAACAGCAAAAAGAAAAAGAGATTCTTTCAAAAATGCGACGCATGTCCGATTATTTTTCTTCACAAAGTGAATCGCAAACTTCTACATTACATGAAATTGATTCAAATAGTTTAGCTTCTATACAAATTTTGGAAAACAATGATTTAAATAATGCATCAACATTGACAAAGCTAGTACACAAAAAAGAAAAGGTAAGCATATAAAAAATGGCCCTCGAGAGTCCCGGGGGCTGTCAAAAAAGCGAGGACACTTTACGCTGTAACCATCCATTTTCTAAGTAAGTTTTTCAGCATTTCTTTATAGAAATACGTTCCTTATTACAAGGGTTACCGGGTGAAGTAATGTAGACAGTATTCGCTGCTTATCAATAAGAAAAATCAAACCTGAAAGTTTGAAGTCAAATTTTGAGGTTTGATTTTTCCTTGTCAAGGTGTTAAATTCGTCGCCATACGTGAAACTTTCAGGTTTGATTTTTCCTATATATAAGCAACAAATCGTGACAACATTGCTTCACCCGGTAGCCCTTGCGATAAGGAACCTATTTCTATAAAGAAATTCTGGCGCAAAGTTCCCCCGCTTTTTTGACAGCTTTGGATCGTTCGGCGGCCCTTAAAATTTCCCCTTAATTATAATAATAAATTGCGTCGGATCAATAAATATTACGTAAAAAAAAATACATTACTCTATAACTTCAATTAAAGGCGTTTACGCGAAAGTTAACAAATACAGTGTGCAAACGGCAAAACTCGACGAGACGCAACAGCCGTCAACGATTTTAATTTTTTTACTCAGTTGATACAGGTATTGCAATTATTTCTTTATATTTTATTCAGTATTTTGAGTAATTAATATATCTCAGCAATGATATATATTTTATATTCTTAACTTACTTTACATTCACCCAATTTTATACAGTTCCAGTATTTTATTCATGCAATTGTATTGTACAAAACTTTTTCTATTTTATATTTTAAAAAAGCATGAATATTTTCAGGTTTCGATAACAGAAAAAAGCGGGAGTGAGGATGGTTTGTCAAATGATATAGGTATGTGGCCGGATGATATGAAAAAATGGAGTTTTCATTGGTTAAAAAAGTTCGATGTTTCTGTACAACATTGCGACAGCTATTTATTAAAAAATAAATCATTAGAACAATCCGATGGACAGAAAATCAGAAAATGTACCGTAAGCATGTTCGAAAAAAAAACGGTTAACGGAGAAGTGATCAAACGTTCTTGGTTGTGCTTTTCTCCTACTACTGGTCGTTTATATTGCTTTTTTTGCAAATTATTTGATAAATCGTTGGCAAATCAGTTTATACACAACGGCTTTTGTGACTGGAAACACGCTAATGAACGTTTAGTACAGCATGAAATGTCAAATCATCATTTAAAAGCTCTGGTACAATATAATAGCCTTTCGAAAGAACAAGGACAAATTGATAAAGAACTCAAAAAACAAATCGAAGATACCACTAAGTATTGGCAAAATGTATTGAGGCGTGTGATTGACGTTATATTATTTTTAAGTGAAAGATCATTCTTAAGTGAAATTCTAGGCTCGCCAAACAATGGAAACTTTCTAGGAATAATAGAGTTATTGTCAAAATATGATCCTTTTTTAGAAGAGCATATAAAAAAATATGGAAACGGTGGAAGTGGACACGTTAATTACCTCTCGTCAACTATCTATGAAGAACTCATCGAAGAAATTGCCAAATTAGTATTCAGCGAAATATTGATACGATTGAAAAAAGTTAAAATATATTCAATTTCTTTAGATGGAACAAGTGACGAAGGTCATGTTGATCAACTGACTTTAATTTTTAGATATGTAGAGAATAGTAAGCCAGTTGAAAGATTCCTAAAATTTTTACCTAATCAAGGCCACAAAGCTATTAACATGTTTAATGCATTGATAAATTTTTTAAAAGAAAATGATATTGATATAAGCAATTGCCGCAGTCAGTCATATGACAACGCATTGACCATGAGTGGAAAATTTAACGGACTTCAAGCTTTAGTAGCAAAAGAAAATGATTTAGCAATATGGATACCCTGCTTAGGACACAGTTTAAATTTGACTGGAGAAAAAGCTTCTGATGCTTCGATGTCTTCAACGAATTATTTCATGTTCCTTCAATCTATTTACGTATTTTTTTCAGCTTCAGATTGGCGTTGGGCATTGCTTAAAGAAGCATTAGAATCAGATAAAACCGGAAAAGTCAAAATAAAAATGCCACGAGTTGAATGCACTAGATGGAGTGCTCGAGGAGATACTAATGAAGCTTTTGTACTTGGTTATAAATCAATCAGAGATACTTTATTAGATATATCTCAAAATACTAATTACGATACTAAAACTCGATGCGAAGCTTCAGGTCTTCATAAAAAAATGTGTCGTTTAGAAACTGGGATCATGGCGTCGCTTTGGAATGATATTCTTCAAAACTTGAATAAAACTAGCAGCATGATTCAAAATCCTAGAATACTGTTAAATACCGCAATTTCATGCATAAAATCATTAAAAGAATACGTCGCAGAAAAACGAGATAACTTTTCACACTATGAGGATTTAGGAAAAAAACTAACTGAAATAACGAAATATCAAAGCAATCGTATTCGAAAGAGAAATGTTCGTTTAAACTCTCCTAATGATCCTGAAACACCAGAAGTTGAATTTTCAGTGTCTGAATCATTTCGTATCTCTCAATATCTTCCAATAATAGATACATTTATCAACGCTTTGAATCAAAGAATAGGAGCATACAAAGAAATTGAATCGAGATTTGGATTTTTATCTAAGCTTGATGAATTAAGTCATGCCGAAATTACCGAAAATTCTCAACGGTTAATAATTATTTATTCAAATGATTTAGATTCTGGTCTTGAAACAGAATTATTGCAATTTCGAAATTTTTGTTTAGATTTACTGAAATTCGACTTGAACATTAGTAAAGAACAAGCAATGTACTCACTGATTATTGACAAAGGAGTTCGCGAATCTTTTCCAAACGTTGAAATGGTCTTAAGAATATATTTAACATTAATGATATCTAACGTGACCGGTGAAAGATCATTTTCTAAATTATTCATCATTAAAAATGTGTTGCGAACATCTATGACTCAAGACCGCTTGAATTATTTAACAATCATGAGTACGGAACGAGATATATTGCGGGAGATAGATATTGAAAAAGTAATAAAGATTTTTGCAGAAAAAAAAGCACGGAAAGTTTTTTGTTAGTTTTATATATGTATATTGATTTGCTTTTTTGTTACGTAAATGTATTACGACTGATCTTAGTATTTTGTATTTTGTAAAAATAAAAATTAATTTTATTTAATTTTATTTCAATATTTTTAAGCT